TTTTTTGAATAGTTTTTTTTATTTGATTAATTGCCCATGTTGATACTTTTCCAATTAGTTCACTAAATATAGGATTATGAAGAGTAAATGGATCAATCGCAACTTTGTTAGAGCCCATACGTATTGCTGATTTTAGATGTTGTAAACGCATTACTTGATCAATTTGACGAAATACACTTTCCAGATCACTAGCTGTCTCGATTGCTCTTTTAAATGTGCTATGTGATGATTCAGATCTACCAGTAGTTGATATTCCTATATGACAAAATTGCTTAGTATAAGCTAATATCCACAATTTCGAATCTTTCATCCATGTCTGAATATAAGATTCTACCTTTTCTGGAGAGTGTGACTTTTCAGCAGCCTTTTTAATTGCATTTAGAGACTGAGGAATTTCTTCTTCACATTCAGAAAACCTTAGAGCTTCAACCTCTTTTTTAAACATCTCGTAGTCTTCATCATTTTTAAAAAGCTTACGGCAATTAACTTTCAAATTTTGCTCAAGAAGATGCCAAACACATAGCATCTTATTAGACTCCGGGAATACTTTAGACGAAGCATTTCTTAATGCTTGGTCTCTATCGGACATGAAAACATCTGGTAAGCAACCATAAGCATTATAAATTTTGGTACGAAGCGTTTGCAAAAACCATGTGTAGGACGCTTCACTTTCATTATCAATCCAGGCCATTGCGATTTGATAAAATGCTAGTACACCTTTCTCATTACTAATGTTATTTATTCCAACAGCACTAACAAGCAGATATTTGTAAATATTTGTTCTGTATGTAGCATCCACAATAAGAACCTCCGGGCATTTGGCAACGCACTTAGCAGCTTCAACATGTGAAAAGAAAAGGTGAGTTAGATATCCTTTTGTTGTTTTATGTGCCACAACCATATAATCACGTTCTTCAAGAAGCCTTAGTAGTATCTGAGTAGAATCGTTATTATAACCTTCATTCAAAGCAAGCCTAATACGTGCACGTTCATTCACAATGTCTTTTGAGAGAATAATACCACCATTAATAACCTTATTAACAGCTGCTGTTATAACACGAGTTGGTGCATTATTATCATGCAACTGTTGTACCAGATTTTTCTGATTTAGGCTCATAGCACGGTATTGTAGAAAAGTTGCAACCTCATCCAACTCAAGCATTGTGTGTTTATGTTCGAGTACAGCCTTCGTGACAATCCATCTTACTTCAGTATTTAAAACACTTGTAGTCGAATGGCATTTTGTTGCAGTGGCTCTAATATATACAGGGCAGCCTTCGCGTTTAGTAGTTTTCTTCCTTTTACTAGTCTCCTCTGTTATATTCCAACAATTTTTCTACTCTCTACCTTTTGTGCATTGCAAAACGACAAAGAGCGATTTTCCTTTACACCCGGTAAGGTTGCTATCTTTTCTTGAAAATGCAAACCCTTCATACTTAGCAGCTAATCTTGCAGCATCTTCGAAAGCTTCCAGAGAATCAAACTTATCATTCACATTGGGCATAAGAGGTTTAGACATTGTGGTTATAATTATAAAGTTGCATGAACGAATTAGATAAATTGTATAAGGCCGTAGAGTATAATCAAACCAACAAAGTCTGGTATATAATTCCACTAAAAAGTAAGTGATTATATATATATATAACGGGTTAAATGTTATATTAACAACTAGTGAAAGTGTTTGTTTTATAAGAATGTATTTTGCCAAAGCGAAAGAAAAAAATTTCTTTTTTTTTTTTATATAATGTAAAAAAATTTTTTTCTTATGATGTATCCATTACATAATTCTGCATACAAAATCTAGATTTTCCAAGTTTACTGATCAGAATGTTTTAGATGATTAATAATAATGGTTATTTTGTTACTCCGATTAGTGAACTAAAAGGTAAGTTGAATAAATGTGCAATTTATTCTTTGCGTTTGACAGTTATTTATTATGATTTAATTCATTTTATACTTATGGTTGAATTTATCATAATACTTTAATAATAATTGGAAGGGGCGAACATTATTTATTCACAAAAATACTAAAAATATGAATAATAAGTTTAATCAATTTGGCCTATCTAACAGACATAAGATGCGTCTAATATGCTCCATTTAAAAAAAAAATAAAAAAATATATATAAATAAAAAAGATTAAAAAT